AATCCCCAAGTTTCCGTGGTTGAAATATTTGATTTAATTTTGTCTATTACATGAACGTTTCGGCCCGTTTTTTAGGTCTGATGATGGGCCGTAAGCCCGAAATGCCTGTAATAGACAAAATTAAATAAAATATGTTTTAACCACGGAGAACTTGGGATTTTTCAACCTTTGGATAATATATTTTCTCATCCCTTCCCCAGTCAATGTTCATCCATTACAAAAGCGGTATAAGCAGTGAATTTTGTATTTTTTAAATATAAAGCTCAAAGAGGATTCCCACAGGGCGTTAATCGTTGATACATAACCGTTAGTTAATCAGCCATGCTGAATTACTCAGCCAATTATAAATTAAATGCTTATCTGCGGCTGTGAAAGGATGGATCAACAGTGATGAATCATTATCACGGAATCAGGAAGAATCGGAACAATTGTAAGTTCAGATAAAAATAGAACACTAGGACTGAACCATTAAAAACCTTCCAACAAAAATTGAGCACACTAAAGTACGTTTGTTATCAATCAACCCTACGGCATTAAATTTATAATGGTGACATAAGCCTCTCGACGATAGCCAGACTTGACCATCAAGTGCCTTTCGTTGTAATATTTTTCGAGTCTATCCACATCAAATCGTCGATGGAGGGAGGATGAAGACAAATCAATCACAGAGTCCTCTTTCTTATATTAAATCAGCAAGCAGCGTTCTATGACTATTTTTGATAAATCTTGTCATTAAAGAAGATTGGCCTGGTATGCGAGCCCTGAGGAACACCCGAATCAACACGAACATTACAGAGAGCACTAAGATCAACATAGTATCGTTTCTATTGTCTAGGGCAAGTTTCTGCCTCAGTTTTCCTTTTTTTCAGCATTTTAATCGAAAAAAAGCATTAAAAACTTAAAAGCGATAGAACAATTCTATAAAAGAAATATAAGCATGTAAATTAAATTCTTTTATATTTGCGATTATTTTAAATATAAAATAATCAGCATCTTAAAAGACCATAGGTCAATTAATTACAAAAAAATTAAAAATTATATAAAATTAAATGTAAAAAAGAGATTCTTCTATTAATTCGAGGGTTTTAAAAATATAAATAACTATCTTATACACTATTTTTTTAGTCTTGAATTATTAGAAGAATCATTTATATATTTATTTAAAGAAATATATTTAATTTTATATAATTTTAATGTAATTATTTTTCATTTTAAGCTATTTTTATTTTTTTAAATTCTCAATTTAAAAGCAGAATAGTTTATTTTATCAATCCATATTTGCTTAGTGGTCACAATTGACCATATTAATTGTTCCAATTAATTATTCTATTTATCTAAGGTTTTTGGTTGAAATGAAAAATTGGTGTCACGAGCGGGATTCGAACCCACGAACTTCGGCTCGATTCGCCGCGGCTCTAACTATCTGAGCCATCGTGACTTCAAGTGACGTTCAAACTGAAGTCACGATAGCTCAATCGAATCTTGATACTTTTTTTTTCAACTCAACCAAAAACCTTGGATAAAAAGAATAATGATTGGACTTAATTTTTATATTTAATGTTATATAATTTTGAATTTGCATCCTAATAATTTTCACATGGTGTTTTATTTTTTTATATTTGAAAATAATTCGTAAACATGCAGCAATTTTACTTTATATATTTTTCCTTTACATGTACAAAGTTTTTTATTGCTTTAAAGAGAGGGTTAATTTAAAATTAAAAATTGTTAAATTGAAGTTAAAAACGGTTAATTTGAAGGAAAAAAGCTATAAATTCATTGTTACAATATTAAAACAGTTGCAAATTGATCTTTAATTAATTTTTGACTTATTTTCCAGGGTATTTGACCACCATAAGCTCCATACCTGACCAGAGGTATAATCTTTTTTGTATACATAGGCTATTTTTGGATTTATACACTACGCTTTGCCCCCAAAATCTTTAGCTCAGACTTGTTGACCTTCGCTTTCTGTATCGTTTTGCATTTTTCTTCCAGGTGAGCTTTTGATCTAAAGTTATTTCTTCATGCGCCGTTTCGTCCGGGATAACACCCCCTCTCACACCGCCTTTAACTAATTTGAGGACAGGAGATGAAACAGTTTCGCCATTTGGCCTTTAGTAAAAAAAAGAACTAGCGATGAACGACTCAAACCAGCTCAAGAAGAGATGACCAATGCCAGATGGTCGTAACTTGTCGACCAGAATATATCTATCAACCTTTTTGCCTTTTGAGAGATCTGTATGAACATTCTTGCCAGATTCGATATTAAAAANTTTTATTTTTTGAAACCACACATGTATTTTTTTTTTTAATGAAACGGTGATAAATATGCTATTGGATAAGGTAATTTCACCAGTCGGAATTATCAGATAAACCGTTGTCGATTACGTACGTGAATCTTGACTCGGACATCCGGCAGGATATTATAAAAATGAAATGAATTATTTAACAGTTTCTCAAGAAATTGTAACTTACGGCTCGCCGCTCCCTGGCAATGTAAGGCGAATCAGAAAGCAGATAATCTGTTGCACCGAAGACGTTGACAAATCGCGTCCGGCAATCTTTGAGAGGATGTGACATAAAAATAAAATTAAAAAAAAAATTGGCGTTATATTTTAATTGTCGGCTTAAGAAAGGCCCGTCGGATGTTAAATCTCGAACACCTTTCACTAGCCTAAAAGAAAATAACGAAAATAACACCTGGAACATCAGGACATCTTTTCTAAGGATGTAACGGTCTTCAAATTTACAGTATACGACTGATTATCTTCACTTTTACTTTCGTAAAAGAAACACTCGGAGGTTAACGGGTGCATCCCGCTCGATCCTCAGCCAATAGCAACAGCACTTCACAAAATGGACGAAAACCCATTGAAACACCAATTTTTTTCCAAATCCTCCACGACTCAAGGACAGATTTTAGGAAAATCCAGGGCCATTAATATAGACATCGAGAATTTTTTTAGGGTCCTTTCTGAACTAGGCCGATTGAACTTGGCAGTTAAGTCATTATACAGTCACGAGCTATATAATAAAATTGAAGCTATATTACCCAAGCTATATAATGTAGATGTAGATGTATTAGTCGGGGTGTAATATACTGCGCCCTTTAAGATCTATTATATATCTATACATTCTATATTGCATATCTTTATATTCTTCCAGATTTATGGTGAGATCTTGTTTTCAAGACAAAAAAACGAATTACTTAAGGCGTCTTTGCCTTCTTAAACGTTCGGCCACAGTCCCTCTAGAACTCTTTCTATACAAACCTATGATTATATGTAGATGTATATGTAGATGTATTAGTCGGGGTGTGCATTATACCGCGCGAAAATCAAAAATATTATTTTTACTCGAAATTTTCGACTAACCTTACAAAAATTTGACTTTAGGGGGTTTTTTGGGGTGAAAAAAGAATTTTAACTTTGTTCTTCGTTTTATTTTATTTAATTTGGTCTAATTAATTCACAAAGGCCGAATTGATGCTATCACGAGTAGTTTAATCGGTTCGAAAGCTCTGTAAAGTTTCAGGTAGATTTGTTTAGAATTGAAATTGAAAATTCTAATTTAAAAAAAAAAAATCATTAATTTGTATTATTCTAATTCTTCTTCAATTCCAAAATTGAATTTTAGAAGGCAAAAATTTCGAGGACATTTTTCCAAAAATTTGTAAGCATGACTTTGTTTAATGTAAAAATAATACTTTAGCCTATTTTGCCAAATCGGGCACAAATTATGTACCCACATAAATACCCATGCCATGGCTAGCTGCCATGTACAATTTTGATGTAGTGACCGAGCGACCTTTAGCACTTACCAAAGTGGGTTAAAGTCTTTTTTATCAAGAAATAAAGCTGATATTCAGTTTTTTCACCTCCAAAAACCCCTTATTACAAATTTTAAGGGAAATCAAAAAATAATTTTACTCAAAATATTCGCCTTTTAAAATGGCCGCGATTTTTTTGTTTCTAAAGTCACAGAAATGACGATAACTGTGAAAAAACACAAATCCATTATATTTAGTGGTCTAATGACCAAATTACTTCTTTCAATTATTTAATCTTTTTATGTAAGGTTACGGTTGAAATGAAAGAAAAAGCTTGTGCCACGGCGGGATTCGAACCTACAACCTTCGGCTCAATACACCGCTGCTCTACCACTTGAGCTATTGTGGTAGAGCAGCGGCCTATTGAGCCGAAGGTCGTGGGTTCGAATCCCGCTCGTGGCACTAGCTTTTTCATTTCAACGAAAAGATAAACTACACAAAGTTTTACAATGTTCTTTCAACTCGATAATTTTACTATTGAATAAACCATCCAAATATGTTTCGCTCTTAATTAACTTGGTCGTAAATTTTTCCAACATTCAATCAGAATTGCTGATAGTTCCACAAGCTTAGAATTCCAATCCAAGATTCGTTCTGTACAAACGTGTTTTATGCGGATTTTATTGACAATATCAATCGCTAGAAGAAAAAAAAGCGCGATTTCGACAGGCCATTTCACCACAACCGTTTGCCTACTACGATTTAAAGCGTAGAAGAAATGTAAAGAAAGAGTTATTATATAAATTTGTTGTTGAAAGCTCTTAATCCTTAGAACATTTTTATTACTATTATTTATTTTATTACAATGGTACTGATCACAGTCGAAAAATTAGTCATATTTCTTTAGGCTTTAGGTGCAAGGTGAAATTTTTTGGCCAGTTCAGCCTTACTAGTTTTATATCGTTTTTGGCGTTCCGTTATCGAGACAAAAGAAGTCTTTCAGATCAAAAACAGCGAGGATAAGCGAACCAGGATCGTAAACGGCCAAATGATGCAAATAAAATACCGTCGTTAAATTGAACATAAAAATTAACGGCCTTTCCGAGAAAATTATTTCGAAGGAATTCAAGAGAGCAAGAGGGTCGAATAAAAAATTTTCCCCGCTCAGCGCTTGTTACTCAATTAATGTACACGTTTATGTAATAAAAGATTTATATCAAATTCCATCGAAATCCGTTGCGGTTTGGTCACTTAGTAGGTCGGAAGGTATGCTCGTGTGTAACCGTTTCGGATTTTATGCGCGAATAATTAGCCTTTTTTTGTTGTTTTATTATTTGTATTGAAATCCTATCCGGCACGGATTGACTTTCATGGCAGCGAGACTCAAAATTAAGAGATTAAGATTAAGCTTACAATGGGAATTTTTAAACAAAATATTCTTCCTATATATTGCAAGGTAATTATATAAACCGATTCATTTTAATATCTACTATAAGAAAATAATAAGTAGGATCGTATTAAATGAGACTATATACATGAAAAGTTACAAAAATATAAAGTCGCTACCATTTAATGTAGGTCAAAATATTTGGTTTTTGAAAAACAATTCAGATTCGTTTTAAGCACCCTTTGAATTCCTTAAATACGAATGTTTGAAGGAAGCAAAAAATAGACATTTTTCGGTGTGATTCGACGGAGGCAGTTTATTTCTACGGTGTCCTGTTGTTCTACAGAAATATTCCTTTACTCTGTGGGTTTTATCCAAATTCAACATTGATATAACCTGTTGAAGTAGTGAGGATCCGAATAAAGGTCGAAACGCCGGCAAAAAATGAAAAAGGTGTTTTTCTAAACTACTTCATTCTTGACCGCTCCTCACGACTTCAAAAAATTATGAAACAACAGTTCACTAAGTAACATACGTTGTTATAACCGCTTCAAAACTGGATTATAATTTTTAATTTTATTTCTCAAGTTCTAATTTATTTACGAAGACGAATTTTACGTGGAGTTTAGAAGGTTTTATGCCTCTGTAGAGTTTCCAATAATTCGGTGAAGTCGATTCAAAATTATCACCATTTTTGTGATTTTCTTATAAAAAAACAAAAGACGAAAATTTTGCGTTTAAATTTTACACAGAAGACAAACACTTTGAGTGAGTAGAAATACTTTGATTGAATATATAAAAAATATATTTTGCATTGTATAAATTCACTTTTCCACATCCAAAATGTAATTGTTATATGTAAACAATGTTTGTAAATCCCAGGCCCTGAAGATGATCTCAATAAAGATCGAAACGTTGGCACGATTTCTAAATAAATATTTTGCAGAAAAATGATCATTTTTGATTTGACAAAAATTTTGTATTCAGGGGTTTTTGAAAGTGCAAAAACCTAATATTAACTTTATTTCTTGATTTAAAAAAAAAAATTAACTAACTTTGCTATGTCGCTCAGTCACTTCGACAAAATTGTAACTTGGTAGCCTTAGCATGGGCATTTATGTATACACATAATTTCTACCCTATGTGGGAAAGTGGGGTAAAATATTTTTTTCTTGGCAAGAATCTAAGTTCAAAAACCCCCGATTACCAATTTTTAAGGGGAAAAAATTTCCTCAAAATTTTCGCTTTTCAAAACGGCTGCGATTTTTTATTTTCTAAAATCACAGATATTCCAACAACTTTGAAACAACACTACCGATCTGTTTTGAAACTTTACACGGCTTTAGTGCCATCGGTGGAATCAATCCTCTGTGAATAAATTAAAACAAGAGAAATAAAATAAAACTTTTGAGATGTTTTTGTTGGCTTTCGTACTTATTTTATTCGCTTGTAGTGGCACAGCATATAAACATTGTCAACATGGGCTGAAAGCAAAATAATCCAGCTTTCCAACGGTTGTCATAACGTTGAATTTGGATAAAATTGACGGGAGTTATGGATTTTTATGTGGACCAACAAGACACCAGGAAAAATGTCAATTTTTTGTTTACAATCAAAATTCGTATTTAAGGACTTTAAAGGGTACATAAGATGAATCCGAATTGATTAAAAAAAAATCTGTAACCTATTATCCTAGAATCTTTTAATTTTTTTGTAGATTTTTATGTATTTTCATTTAATTCGATTCAACCTTTTACTTCATTATCCCATTATGGGGACCGCGGTAGCCGAGTGGTTAGCATGAGAGACTCTCACACCGCGGTCGTGGGTTCGATTCCCACCGTCGCCTCTGGCCCTTTTTTCACAATAACCCCCCCAAATTTCAACACACATATACGAATTGTCACATGGCTAATATGCATAGATCATAACGCCAAAAAAAAATTATCCCATTATAACAAAACAAATTCAATTACTTTTTCTTCGCTCCTAGGTATATAAATATTTTTCGACTCAGTCTAAAATTCAATGAATCGCCCGAAGAAAGAATTTTTGAAGGTCGGGAAAAGCCTTTTGTCATTCGCTACATGTCATTTGCAATTTTGCAATCCCGATATCAGATATTGCGAGACAGACACCTCACCGTCCAATTCAGACGCGATGGGAGTCCATGCATAACAAGTGAAAACACCATTTTCTAGGCCGGCTCCTCGACTCAAAAAAAAAGAAAAAGAAAAAAAGGTCGTTGACCGAAACAATAGAGCCTTCACTTTTCCAATGGTTGAAACACAAGAAATACCCAGCCCGACGGAAAGAAACTATGCTTCCTCGGTGACTATTCTATAACCGATGTGCTCCGGTGGAAGATTAAGTCTTCGACGATTTTGTAAAACGACCGATAATCTATCGAAAAGAAATCCAATCGGAGGAAAAGCATGAGTACATGAAATATTACACGTACTTACCATTTAAATATATGGCCGGTGTGCATTTCCTTTTTGAAAAAAAAAAAAAAAAAAAAAAGTGAACGGGCTTTCCACCTCTTCCTCCTGTACAATTAATATTTTATGAGATAATTGCGACCAGAGAAAGAAACGTGATACGAATGTTTTATGATAATTAAATCATAAATTATTTTTTGACATGCATATTTTCCTGTCTCCGGCCTCGTCCGAATTTTCCTATTAAATCAAATTACAACCCAAATTATTTATTATAGATAAATAATAAATTATAGAATTGTAAGCAAAGTGAAGAGTATTTTGGAAAACATATATTCCTGATTATATTAATATCAGCAACTATCTTTAGAAGAACTAAATACTTTTTTGCCAATGTTAAACTTAAGAGAATTTTTATTAGGTGAATACAGACTATTATATATAATTAAATTGGTTTTATTATCTAAGACCAATTCGTACTGGTATACTGACGACTCAAAAACAGATAGAGGCAGGGGAACTGGCGGCCTTAGTATTAATCTGAAGACCGAACTGCTTGAAATTTAGGTAATGCGCTTGTTTTGCCAGTCCGAAATCAATATTACTGAATCAGATAGATAAAAAGGCTAGGAACACATTCCAATAAGATAGCTATTTTAACTGACAATCAGGCAGCACTTACGGACTTAGCCTCGTGAAAGATAAAGGCAAAAAGCATATGGAATTAAATGGAAGCCCTGGGCATTCAGAACATAGAGGCAATGAGAAGGAACATTCGGCCAAAAAATATAGCCAATATGAATTCTCTAGGCCCCAAGCCCTATTTTTTTAAATATATTTTTTAACGAGGGTTCGCAACAGCAGAGGTTATATCAACCCTCGGGGTACCAGTGTTTTGGAAAAAAAGCCCATTTATAAGTATGTCGGGTTCGAAGGGAAGGCCGCTGGATGGGACCTTTACCTTACAGTGATGAGCGCTGTGTCAACATTTAAACCATTGCGGCCACCGACGCCCCTCCCGAAACCTATTGTGGCCTAGCATCTTGCCACAGAAATGGGTACATCCTTAAGTCCAAAACCTGGTGGACAATATCATCAACTATCTTTAGAAGAACTAAATGGTCCCCGCTCGCAAAGAGACTCATAGAACGGCCATTCGCAAGACTTACAAAGGCATTACTGGAACCGCAACAGAACAATGATTTTGGTTCGACTCCTGACAGGAGCCTAACAAGGCACACAGACATTAGACACACCGTGCAGATACTGCCAGGAAGAAGAGGAGACCGCAGAACACGTTTTATGTTTTTGTGAGGGACTATACAGCTGCAGATTCTTGCAACTGGGAGAGGAAAAGCCACAAGCAAGACTACAGTTAGGTACCACTGGCAAAGCTATGGAGGTTGATTAACAACCTGAAGCTGGCTGGTTATGTAAAATTATTACATATATAAAAATATAGGAGCACAATAGATCTACTTAGGTCAAGGTTCAGAAGGCCTTGTTGCCACCTCTTTTATCCCTATCCCTATATTATCTATAATATAAATAATATTCAAGACCATATTAAATGAAACAAGATGTATATACAAAGTTGCAAGAACCAACACAAGCGTTCAGGAAGTGTAACAAATTAGAATGAATTTCATCAAAGTCAAAATGATTTGATTTTTTAAAAACCCAATTTGGATTCGTTTTAAATACCATTTAAAGCCTTCATAGGAATTTATATATCAAAGAAAAATTGACATTTTTGGCTGGATTAAGTGGGGACGACTTTTGTTTTCTCCGGTGTCTTGTTGGTCCACTAAAAAACAACTAACATAACTCCTGTTAAATTTTATCTAAATTTAACATTACAACAATCGTTGGAAAGCTTAAGATTTCTCTATGTTGAGACTATTTCAACAGCGGGAACGAGAGGGGCTCAAAAGAGATCGAAAATCTTATTCATTCTTGCCTAAACTTACTAAGTGGAGCTAAGCTTACAAAGATAATTTTCTTCCTTTGTTCATGTATTTCGAGGCTATTAACTATATAAATCGATTTGTTTTTTATTACCTAGTATAAGAAAATAACACTCAGGATCGCATTAACTGAGGCGACATATATGAAATGTCACAAAAACAATAAGACAATGCTAGTAAAATCAAAATACTTGATTTAAAAAAGAACCATTCAGATACGCATTAAGCACCGTTTAAAGCCCATGGATACAAATTTTTATGGCGAATAAAGCACAGATGTATTGGGGGATTGAATATATTGGGGCGAAAAATATTACACTTGAGCCCCAGAAAACTTGAGAAAATATTATTCTTAAGGTTTTTGCCTTCGTTGTGCATGAATTTCAACGTGATCAATTTATTATATTATTATTATTATTCTATTTGTTTTATTATCCAATGTAAGAAAATAATATGCAAGGATCGTATTAAACGAGATTAGGTATATAACAAGTTATAAAAACCAATCGAAATTACTAGTAAAGTACGGCAAAAAAATTTATTTTTGAAAAAGCGATTCGGATTCGTTTTAAGCATCCTTCAAAGCCCGTAAATACGAATTTTTAAAACAAACAAGAAATAGATTTTTGATATTTTTGGCTCGATTCGGCGGGGGCGATTT